TAGATGAACCAGCTGCTAGCAGCAGGCTCCCACCCAGACTGGCTAACACAAGGAAGGACAGTGCTGATCATAAAAGACCCCCACAAGGGAATAGCACCGTCCAACTATTGGCCAATAACCTGCCTCCCCACAACATGGAAAGTCCTATCAGGCATCATAGCTGCCAAGCTACAGGACCATATGGGCCAGTACATGAGCACAGCTCAGAAGGGCATTGGGGACAACACCAGAGGCACAAAACACCAGTTGCTCATAAATAGAGCAGTTGCCCGAGACTCATGGTCTAGAGAGACCAATCTGAACACAACCTGGATTGACTACAGGAAAGCCTACGACTCAATGGCACACATACTGTATGGATCTGTGAATGCCTGGCACTATACAAAGTCAACAGGACACTAAGGACCTTCTTCAAGAACTCAAAGGGACCATGGAAGACAACACTGGAAGTCAACTCAATTAAAGCAGCTCACACAAGTGGCATAAACCAAGGTGATGCACTGTCTCTGCTGCTGTTCTGCATAAGCTTGAACTCCCTCAGCCAGATAATCACGAGGACTGGATATGGGTTCAGGAGTGGAACTACCATTAGCCACCTCCTCCATATGGATGACATCAACTGTATGCCAAGAGTGAACAAGACAGTGACTTGCTGATCCACCTGACATGGATCTACAGTCAGTATATTGGGATGTCATTTGGACTGGCGAAGTGTGGCCGGATGGTAGTAAAGAGAGGGAAAGTAGTTAAGACTGATGGGGTGGAACTACCAGCAGGCCACTTAGCAGACATACAGACCAGCTCCAAATACGTTGATATCCCACAGCCATATGGGAACCACGATGAGGAAGCAAGGAAGACAGCAAGATCCAAGTACCACCAAAGGATAAGAGAGATCCTGAAGAGCCAGCTCAATGGGAAGAACAAGATCCCTGCTATCAACATGTATATCCTGCCAGTCATCAGATATCCTGTCAGGCCCAGCCCAAGAACAACGATAAAACAGTCCAGTCTAGTCCAGTCCAGTCCAGTCCCTTTATTAGCTTATACCTTATAGACAAAATCTTGCCAAGGTAAATCTATACTACAGCAACTAGTGGATATACCCTGTGAGATTCTAGGGAGTGGCTATCT